ACCCACTCCCCTGTCCCCATCCCATCCTCAGACTGGGCGGGAGGCAGGGCCGGGCCGGGCGGGGGGCCTGGCGGTCTGCTGCTCCGGGCCCTGTGAAGGGTGCTGGGGGGGTTGGTGGCCCCCGCCTGCAGCGGTGCCAGCACAGCGAGGCCCACGCCAGCCGCTGCGTTGGGGGCTGGGCTCCGGGCCCCTGCCTTCCGCGTGCCCCACCCCCCGGTGTGTGTGTGCCTGGAGTGGGGACCAGGGCCCCTCGAGGTCCTGGCGAGGCCCTGCAGCTCCCCTGACCCCCTTCTCTCTTTCTCCTCCCGCGGGGTCCCAGACAAGCCCCAGCCCCCACAGGGCCCCCTGGAGGTGCAGGACTGCCGGGGGGCCGGCGTCTGCCTGCGCTGGCGGCCCCCTCGGGACGACGGGGGTCGACCCGTGGAGCGCTACGTGGTGGACAGGCAGCAGGCCGGCCGGAGCACGTGGCTGAAGGTGGCCGAGCCCCCCGCAGACAGCCTCACGTTCACGGACGCCCACGTGGAGAAGGGCAGGAAGTACACCTTCCGCGTGCGGGCCGTGACCTCGGAGGGCGCCGGCGAGGCCCTGGAGTCCGAGGAGGTGCTGGTGGCTCCCGATGGTGAGTGGACGGGCTGGGGTGAGGGTGGGGGGAGTCCCAGGTCCCCACTGTGCACCGAGGCGGAGGGACGCCGGGGTCCCAGGCCCTTCTAGGACACCATGGGGACCGCTCCCCTCAGCTCCTCCTGCAACCGGGAGCGAGGTACGAGGGGTGTTTTCCCAGGGGCGGCTCTCCCGGGCATGGGCACGCAGAGTCCACTCGGGACCCTGGGGGGCTGGCTTCGTCCTCCATCAGATGGAGCCTCCATCTGGGCCTCGGGGCTGAGACTCGGGGCTGGGCCTTGGGGCAGGCTGCACACCTGGGCCGCTCTGCCCCTCTGTTCCCATCATCCCCAGAGCAGCTGGACCAGTGTCCAGGAGGGGAGGGGACGGCTTTTGGCCCAGCCGCGATGCCCCCGCCCCCAGGACCTCCATGGGCCTGCACCTCCCACCCCCTGCCTCTGGCTGACCGGCCCCTGTCTGCCCAGCGCTCCCTGGGCCGCCCTCCGCCCCGGCCATCCTGTCGGCCTCCAGCCGCGGCATCACTATGGCGTGGACGCAGCTGGACCAGTGTCCAGGAGGGGAGGGGACGGCTTTTGGCCCAGCCGCGATGCCCCCGCCCCCAGGACCTCCATGGGCCTGCACCTCCCACCCCCTGCCTCTGGCTGACCGGCCCCTGTCTGCCCAGCGCTCCCTGGGCCGCCCTCCGCCCCGGCCATCCTGTCGGCCTCCAGCTGCGGCATCACTATGGCGTGGACGGCGCCTCAGGGCCTCAGCCGCGCCCACATCCTGGGCTACCTGATCGACAAGCGCAAGAAGGGGAGCAACACGTGGACGGCGGTGACCGAGCAGCCCGTGCCCGGTGAGTGGCCCGAGCACGCGCCCC